CCCCGGTATAGCCCCAGGTATAGTGCCTGTACTAGGTGCTTGTGAGTCTGTTCCCCCTGGTACTGCGTCCGCACAGGCCTTGCACACCTTCACACTTGACTCTGGTGCTTCCCGCTGTTTCTTTCGTGACAGCACCACAGTCACTCCCCTCCCTGCACCTGTTCCTGTCTCACTGGCTGACCCCTCTGGGGACCCAGTGCTTGCACGGTCTTCCACTGTGCTTCCGTGTCCGGCGGTCCCGTCTGGTGAGCTGTCTGGTCTCCACCTCCCCTCGTTCTCTACGAACTTGGTGAGCAACGCCGTCCTTCAGGATCACTGGGTTGACACCTTTACTCCTGGAGGACAGCGTGTGGCGATCTGCACGTGCTCCCGGACCGGCCGTCACCTGGCCACGTTCACACGTGCGCCTGGGTCCAGTCTGTACACCCTCACCACTACGTCGCACTCCACCCCTTTGTCTCCCCAGCTGTACGCGTCTGCTCAGGTAGCTACCCAGTGTGAGTGTCGCCGACTTTCGCACGACACTCTCCTGTGGCACCACCGCCTTGGTCACCCCTCCCTGCCTCGCCTTCGTAGCATGCACTCTCGCTTCCTGGTCTCTGGCCTTCCCAGGTCTTTTTCTGCCCTCCCTCCCTCGCCTGCGCCGCCCTGCATTCCTTGCGTCGAGGGGCGGCAGCGCGCCGCTCCTCACTCCTCCTCGTTCCCTCCCACAGAGGCTCCACTGCAAACTCTCCACCTGGACGTGTGGGGCCCAGCCCGCGTCCGTGGACAGGGCCACGAGCGGTACTTCCTGCTGGTCGTCGACGACTACACGCGTTACACCACGGTCTTCCCCTTGCAGCGCAAGGGGGAGGTCCTTGATGTTTTGATCCCCTGGATCCGCGCTGTTCGTCTCCAGCTCCGCGAGCGGTTCCACTCGGACTTTCCTGTCCTGCGTCTGCACTCTGACAGGGGTTGTGAGTTCTCCTCAGACCTCTTGGCAGTCTTCTGTGCGGAGCACGGCATCTGCCAGACGTTCACGCTTCCGGCCTCTCCGCAGCAGAATGGGGTTGCTGAGCGCCGCATTGGCTAAGTCATGGAGGTCGCTCGTACCTCCATGATCCATGCGACTGCCCCCCATTTTCTGTGGCCGTTTGCGGTCCGGTACACCGCGCATCAGCTCAACCTCTGGCCCCGTGTCTCCTTGCCGGAGACCTCGCCCACACTGCTGTAGACGGGGAAGGTTGGCGATGCGTCGCGTTTCCGGGTCAAGGGTGCTCGTGCCTTTGTCCGCGATACCACCGCGGACAAGCTCTCCGCTCGCGCCATTCCCTGCGTCTCCTTCAGGTGTTTCTCAGGTAGACCCTCCCGTGCCTGCGCCTGTTGAGGTCACTGGTGACTCAGGTCCTGCTGAGGGTGGTGCTGTCTTTGGGGGTGCTGGGCCTGGAGGTGCGGAGCTTGGGGGTGCTGAGCTTGGGGGTGCGGAGCCTGCGCGTGAGGACCCAGGAGGTACTGAGCCGGGGGGTGCGGAGTCTGGGGGCGCTGAGCCTGAGCGTGAGGAGCCTGGAGGTGCTGAGCCTGCACGTGAGGAGCCTGGAGGTCCTGAGCCTGGGGGTGCTGTGTCTGGAGGTGCTGAGCCCGGGCGTGAGGAGCCTGGGGGTACTGAGTCTGGGGGTGCGACGCCTGAGGGTTCTGAGTCTGCTGCTGCGCGGTCTCCTTGGAGTAGCCGCCTTCGTCCGCGTGTGCCTCTCACCTCACAGCAGCTGCACGACTGGTACGGTCGCCGTCAGGGTCGCGCTTCTGGAGCTCGGGGCTCTGCTGCTGGAGGTACTTCTGCTGACGTCACTGGAGCTGAGAGTGGTGATGGTCCTTCGTCTACTGGAGGTGCTGGAGTCGCTGGTAGCGGAGGTGCTCGTACTGGAGATACTGGAGCTGCTGGGGCTGGAGGTACTGTGTCTGAGGGTGCTACTGCTGGAGGCCCTGGGTCTGGGGGTGCTGCTACTGGAGGCACTAGGGCTGGAGACCCTGGGCCTGGCGGTGCCGGTTCTGGGGGTGCTGCAGCTGGTGGAGCTGGTCCTGGAGGAGCTGGTGCTGAGGGTTCTGGAGCTGCTGGAGGTGCTGGAGCTGCTGAGGGTACTGGAGCTGCTGGAGGTGCTGGAGCTGCTGGTGCTGGTGGCACTGCACAGCCGCGCCTGTTCTTCGCTCCGCCGTCTCCGTCGTCTCAGCCACCGCCTGACTCTGCGCTTCGCCAGGTTCTCAGTCTCCCTTCGTCTACTGGTCTTCCGTTACAGCCTGGCTCGCCACTGCCTGCTCCTTCTCCTTACACTGAGCAGACAGGGGGCCTTGCTGAGCGTCGTGAGCCTGCGTCGCGTCCTGTCTCGCCTGTCCGTTCTGGTCGTTCCGGTCGCCGTGTTCCTCGTCCGCGTCAGCCGGCTGTCCCCGGCACCCACCTTGTAGTCCGTCGTCCTTCCTCTCCTCCGCAGCGTGTTCCTCTGCCTTCTCCCCCTGCGTCCTCTCTGCCTGACGTTGCGGACCCTGAGTCTGACCAGTTTCGTACTGAGCACCCTACTGTCACGCGTCTGTTAGCCACTGTGGTCACTGACCCGTCGTTTGAGTCTACTGCTGCGTCTGCCCTAGTCGCTGAGCTTGTCGACTTTGCTACTGCATGTCGTCTAGACTACGCTGCTAGTCTTGTTGCTCAGTCTGAGTCTGTCTATCCTCCGTCCGTCGGGGGTGAGTGTGCTCTTAGCACGGACGTCCTTGAGGACAGGCACGAAGACCTTGAGTGTCTTGCGGCCGCTGCGCCTCATCTCGTGGCCATGCTGCTTGCCCCTGAGGGAGACCCGGATGCTCCAGACATCCCGACCCCGCGCTCTTACGCTGAGGCGATCGCGGGTGAGTACTCTTCTCAGTGGCAGACAGCCATGGACGCAGAGATGGCATCCTGGAAGTCCACAGGCACCTACGTCGATGAGGTTCCCCCTCCCGGGGCGAACATCGTCGACGGCATGTGGATTTTCAGGGTGAAGCGGCCGCCAGGTTCTCCGCCTGTCTTCAAGGCTCGTTACGTTGCTCGAGGCTTCAGTCAGCGAGAGGGAGTTGACTTCTTCCAGACCTTCTCCCCCACCCCGAAGATGACCACTCTTCGGGTACTGCTGCATGTTGCCGCTCAGCGTGACTACGAGCTTCACTCTCTTGACTTCAGCACAGCTTTCTTACAGGGCAGCCTGCACGAGGAGATCTGGCTGCGCCGCCCGCCTGACTTCACTGGGTCGTTCCCTCCTGGTACCCAGTGGAGCCTCCGGCGGCCGGTCTACGGTCTCCGCCAGGCGCCACGTGAGTGGCACGACACACTGAGGACGACACTTGCGGCTCTTGGGTTTGCTCCTTCGACTGCTGACCCATCGCTGTTTCTGCGCACCGACACTTCGCTGCCGCCGTTCTACAACCTCGTGTACGTCGACGACTTGGTCTTTGCCACTGCTGACACTGAGGCTCTCGCCCTGGTGAAGTCGGAGCTGCAGAAGAGGCACACGTGCACAGACCTGGGTGAGCTGCGCAGTTACCTTGGCTTGCATATCACCCGGGACAGAGCACGCCGCACCATCACACTGACTCACTCACACATGGTGCAGCAGGTCCTTCAGCGCTTCGGCTTCACCTGGTCCTCGGCACAGGCCACTCCTCTGGCTACAGGTCACTCGCTCTCAGCTCCACCTTCGGACGAGTCCGTAGAGCCGAGTGGTCCTTACCCAGAGCTAGTTGGCTGCCTCATGTACCTGATGACCTGCACTCGTCCTGACCTTGCGTACCCTCTTGGCCTTCTGGCTCGCTACGTGGTTCCTGGTCGGCACCGAAAGGTGCACATGGATGCTGCTAAGAGGGTACTGCGCTACTTGTGCAGTACATCATGCATGGGGCTCGTGCTTGGAGGACGGGGCGACGTTGTCCTCACTGGTCACTCGGACGTTTCTTGGGTTGACGACCAGGCTACGCAGCGGTCGTCACAGGGTTACACCTTCAGTCTTGGCTCTGGCTCTGTTTCTTGGCGGTCTACTCGCTCGTCTTCTGTTCTCGGCTTCAGTTGTGAGGCTGAGATCTACGCCACAGCCATGGCTGCACAGGAGTTACGCTGGCTCACCTACCTGCTGACCGACTTGGGAGAGAGGCTTCGTTCTCCTCCAGTTCTGTACGTCGACAACAAGGCAGCCATTGCCTTGTGTGAGGAGCACAGACTGGAGCACAGAACGAAGCACATCGCTCTGCGTTACTTCCTGGCTCGAGAGTTGCAGCAGCGGGGTCAGCTTCGTCTTGCTCACGTGGCCACTCGGGCCAACACTGCTGATATATTCACCAAGGCACTTCCGTCTGGTGATCATCAGCGCTTTTGTACTTTGTTGGGCCTTGTGCCTACGTTTCCACACTTGCTGTAGACTCTGCTTGTACTCTGATCTATATGTATATACCTGCATGCTTGCTCTTGCTAGGTAGAGATCACTGTACTGTTCTTGTTGCATATATACCTCTGCATGTGAACTGGCCTTGTGGCCTGTTGCTTGTGCTCAGTGTGTGTGGTGACGTTGTGATCCACCCTGAGCTTGCTTTGCTTTTCTTGACTGGTCTTGTGACCTCTTGCTCTCCCCCACTTTGCATATGGGGGTGTGTCAAAGATATGCATGTGTTATATATGTGGGTAGGCTATAGTGGGGTAGATACTGTGGAGTATAACCCCTTAGGGTTTTCTCCTTGTACCAATTCTCTCGATAGTCAACTTCATTGATGCCTAGATTCTAAGAGGAAGTACCGTAAGAAGAGGATAGGGTAGAGGTGAAGCAGGGAGGGAAATGAGGTGAAGCAGGGAGGGAAATGAGGTGAAGCAGGGAGGGAAATGAGGTGAAGTAGGGAGGGAAATGAGGTGAAGCAGGGAGGGAAATGAGGGGAAGCAGGGAGGGAAATGAGGTGAAGCAGGGAGGGAAATGAGGTGAAGCAGGGAGGGAAATGAGGTGAAGCAGGGAGGGAAATTAGGTGAAGCAGGGAGGGAAATGAGGTGAAGCAGGGAGGGAAATGAGGTTAAGCAGGGAGGGAAATGAGGTGAAGCAGGGAGGGAAATGAGGGGAAGTAGGGATGAGGGGAAGCAGGGGGAAATGAGGAGAAGCAGTGGGGGAAATGAGGGGAAGCAGTGGGGGAAATGAGAGGCAGCAGCGGGGGAAATGAGGGGAAGGAGGGGGGGAATGAGGGGAAGCAGGTGGGGAAACTATGAGAGCAGAGGGGGAAACGAGAAGAAGCAGCGGGGTAAATGAGGGAAAGAAGGAGGTCGCATATGAAGGGAGAGAATACGAAGGATGGGGAGGGGGAACAAGAAAAAAAAAGTCAAACAGGGGGGATAGGGAAGAGTGGGAAGAGGGAAGCAGGGTGAAAGGGAAAGGGGGAGATAGGACGATGTGAGAGGGAAAGGGGATAGGAAGAGGGGGGGTGAGGGAAAGGAGGAGGTAGGAAGAGGGTGAGAGGGAAAGAAGGAATTACGGTAGGAAGAGGGAGGATAGGGAAGAGGGGAGATGGGAAGAGGGGAGAGGGAAAGAAGGAAATGCAGTAGGAAGAGGGAGGATAGGGAAGAGGGGAGATAGGAAGAGGGGAAGAGGGAAAGAAAGAAATACAGTAGGAAGAGGGAGGATAGGGAAGAGGGGAGATAGGAAGAGGGGAGAGGGAAAGAAGGAAATGCAGTAGGAAGAGGGAGGATAGGGAAGAGGGGAGATAGGAAGAGGGGAAGAGGGAAAGAAAGAAATACAGTATGAAGAGGGAGGATAGGGAAGAGTTGGGATACGATGAGGGGGAGAGGGAAAGCGGGAAATAGAAAGATGACACGAGGGGAAGAAGAGGGGGAAATGAGGGGAAGGAAAAGGGGAAGCATGTCAGCTGAGGTGGCAGGAGGGCAAAGTGGTCAGGAAGAGATGAGAAACAGAGCAAAGAGGATACAGGAATGATATGCCTGGAGAAGTGGTCAAGAAACAGAGAGATAGGGACATGGGCCTACATGCACACCCAGCAGAGGTAGGGAGAAAGGGTGGGCCATGGGCCTAGAGGGCCGTGAGAGAGGGGGTGGTGGACTTGAGGGACGGGAGTGGCAGGCTGGAGGGGAGCAGGAGAGGAGGAGGGGGTGGCATAAGGAGCAGAGCAGAGCAGCATTGCGACCTGCCTGCAGCAGTGCGACCTGCCTGCAGCGTCATCCCCCACAGCGGAGATGAGGAAGGGCGCGGCGGAGAGTGCTGCCATGCACTCCGCTATGTTATGCGCCACCCCCCCTGCAAGGAGAAACGGGGGAAGGGTGCGGCAGGCAGAGAGAAAGGAAGGAGGAGGGGGAGAGGAAGAGGGGCGGGACACACATGAGAGGTTGGGACATGCAGCAGTGGACGACACTCCCCACTCGAATTCCTTTCACCTGCCCTCCCCCCTGCCTCATGCGGGAGGAAGAAAACGGGTGGGGGAAAGGGAGGAAGGGGACAACCATGAAGGGGAGGGGGTGGAAAGAGCATAGGGCGCAGAGCATAGGGCGCAGAGCATAGGGCGCAGAGCATAGGGCGCAGAGCATAGGGCGCAGAGCATAGGGCGCAGAGCATAGGGCGCAGAGCATAGGGCGCAGAGCATAGGGCGCAGAGCATAGGGCGCAGAGCATAGGGCCGCAGAGCATAGGGCGCAGAGCATAGGGCGCAGAGCATAGGGCGCAGAGCATAGGGCGCAGAGCATAGGGCGCAGAGCATAGGGCGCAGAGCATAGGGCGCAGAGCATAGGGCGCAGAGCATAGGGCGCAGAGCATAGGGCGCAGAGCATAGGGCGCAGAGCATAGGGCGCAGAGCATAGGGCGCAGAACATAGGGCGCAGAACATAGGGCGCAGAACATAGGGCGCAGAACATAGGGCGCAGAACATAGGGCGCAGAACATAGGGCGCAGAACATAGGGCGCAGAACATAGGGCGCAGAACATAGGGCGCAGAACATAGGGCGCAGAGCATAGGGCGCAGAGCATAGGGCGCAGAGCATAGGGCGCAGAGCATAGGGCGCAGAGCATAGGGCGCAGAGCATAGGGCGCAGAGCATAGGGCGCAGAGCATAGGGCGCAGAGCATAGGGCGCAGAGCATAGGGCGCAGAGCATAGGGCGCAGAGCATAGGGCGCAGAGCATAGGGCGCAGAGCATAGGGCGCAGAGCATAGGGCGCAGAGCATAGGGCGCAGAGCATAGGGCGCAGAGCATAGGGCGCAGAGCATAGGGCGCAGAGCATAGGGCGCAGAGCATAGGGCGCAGAGCATAGGGCGCAGAGCATAGGGCGCAGAGCATAGGGCGCAGAGCATAGGGCGCAGAGCATAGGGCGCAGAGCATAGGGCGCAGAGCATAGGGCGCAGAGCATAGGGCGCAGAGCATAGGGCGCAGAACATAGGGCGCAGAACATAGGGCGCAGAACATAGGGCGCAGAACATAGGGCGCAGAACATAGGGCGCAGAACATAGGGCGCAGAACATAGGGCGCAGAACATAGGGCGCAGAACATAGGGCGCAGAACATAGGGCGCAGAACATAGGGCGCAGAACATAGGGCGCAGAACATAGGGCGCAGAACATAGGGCGCAGAACATAGGGCGCAGAACATAGGGCGCAGAACATAGGGCGCAGAACATAGGGCATAGGGCCAGAACATAGGGCGCAGAACATAGGGCGCAGAACATAGGGCGCAGAACATAGGGCGCAGAACATAGGGCGCAGAACATAGGGCGCAGAACATAGGGCGCAGAACATAGGGCGCAGAGCATAGGGCGCAGAGCATAGGGCGCAGAGCATAGGGCGCAGAGCATAGGGCGCAGAGCATAGGGCGCAGAGCATAGGGCGCAGAAGCATAGGGCGCAGAGCATAGGGCGCAGAGCATAGGGCGCAGAACATAGGGCGCAGAGCATAGGGCGCAGAGCATAGGGCGCAGAGCATAGGGCGCAGAGCATAGGGCGCAGAGCATAGGGCGCAGAGCATAGGGCGCAGAGCATAGGGCGCAGAGCATAGGGCGCAGAGCATAGGGCGCAGAGCATAGGGCGCAGAGCATAGGGCGCAGAGCATAGGGCGCAGAGCATAGGGCGCAGAGCATAGGGCGCAGAGCATAGGGCGCAGAGCATAGGGCGCAGAGCATAGGGCGCAGAGCATAGGGCGCAGAGCATAGGGCGCAGAACATAGGGCGCAGAACATAGGGCGCAGAACATAGGGCGCAGAACATAGGGCGCAGAACATAGGGCGCAGAACATAGGGCGCAGAACATAGGGCGCAGAACATAGGGCGCAGAACATAGGGCGCAGAACATAGGGCGCAGAACATAGGGCGCAGAACATAGGGCGCAGAACATAGGGCGCAGAACATAGGGCGCAGAACATAGGGCGCAGAACATAGGGCGCAGAACATAGGGCGCAGAACATAGGGCGCAGAACATAGGGCGCAGAACATAGGGCGCAGAACATAGGGCGCAGAACATAGGGCGCAGAACATAGGGCGCAGAACATAGGGCGCAGAGCATAGGGCGCAGAGCATAGGGCGCAGAGCATAGGGCGCAGAGCATAGGGCGCAGAGCATAGGGCGCAGAGCATAGGGCGCAGAGCATAGGGCGCAGAGCATAGGGCGCAGAGCATAGGGCGCAGAGCATAGGGCGCAGAACATAGGGTAGGGCGCAGAGCCATAGGGCGCCAGAACATAGGGCGCAGAACATAGGGCGCAGAACATAGGGCGCAGAACATAGGGCGCAGACACATAGGGCGCAGAACATAGGGCGCAGAACATAGGGCGCAGAACATAGGGCGCAGAACATAGGCGCAGAACATAGGGCGCAGAACATAGGGGCAGAACATAGGGCGCAGAACATAGGGCGCAGAACATAGGGCGCAGAAACATAGGGCGCAGAACATAGGGCGCAGAACATAGGGCGCAGAACATAGGGCGCAGAACATAGGGCGCAGAACATAGGGCGCAGAACATTAGGGGACGCAGAACATAGGGCGCAGAACATAGGGCGGCAGAACATAGGCGCAGAACATAGGGCGCAGACATAGGGCGCAGAACATAGGGCGCAGAACATAGGGCGCAGAAACATAGGGCGCAGAACATAGGGCGCAGAACATAGGGCGCAGAACATAGGGCGCAGAACATAGGGCGCAGAACATAGGGCGCAGAACATAGGGCGCAGAACATAGGGCGCAGAACATAGGGCGCAGACATAGGGCGCAGAACATAGGGCGCAGAACATAGGGCGCAGACATAGGGCGCAGAACATAGGGCGCAGAAACATAGGGCGCAGAACATAGGGCGCAGAACATAGGGCGCAGAACATAGGGCGCAGAACATAGGGCGCAGAACATAGGGCGCAGAACATAGGGCGCAGAACATAGGGCGCAGAACATAGGGCGCAGAACATAGGGCGCAGAACATAGGGCGCAGAACATAGGGCGCAGACATAGGGCGAGAACATAGGGCGCAGAACATAGGGCGCAGAACATAGGGCGCAGAACATAGGGCGCAGAACATAGGGCGCAGAACATAGGGCGCAGAACATAGGGCGCAGAACATAGGGGCGCAGAACATAGGGCGCAGAACATAGGGCGCAGAACATAGGGCGCAGAACATAGGGCGCAGAACATAGGGCGCAGAACATAGGGCGCAGAACATAGGGCGCAGAACATAGGGCGCAGAACATAGGGCGCAGAACATAGGGCGCAGAACATAGGGCGCAGAACATAGGGCGCAGAACATAGGGCGCAGAGCATAGGGCGCAGAGCATAGGGCGCAGAGCATAGGGCGCAGAGCATAGGGCGCAGAGCATAGGGCGCAGAGCATAGGGCGCAGAGCATAGGGCGCAGAGCATAGGGCGCAGAGCATAGGGCGCAGAGCATAGGGCGCAGAGCATAGGGCGCAGAGCATAGGGCGCAGAGCATAGGGCGCAGAGCATAGGGCGCAGAGCATAGGGCGCAGAGCATAGGGCGCAGAGCATAGGGCGCAGAGCATAGGGCGCAGAGCATAGGGCGCAGAGCATAGGGCGCAGAGCATAGGGCGCAGAGCATAGGGCGCAGAGCATAGGGCGCAGAGCATAGGGCGCAGAGCATAGGGCGCAGAGCATAGGGCGCAGAGCATAGGGCGCAGAGCATAGGGCGCAGAGCATAGGGCGCAGAGCATAGGGCGCAGACATAGGGCGCAGAACATAGGGCGCAGAACATAGGGCGCAGAACATAGGGCGCAGAACATAGGGCGCAGAACATAGGGCGCAGAACATAGGGCGCAGAACATAGGGCGCAGAACATAGGGCGCAGAACATAGGGCGCAGAACATAGGGCGCAGAACATAGGGCGCAGAACATAGGGCGCAGAACATAGGGCGCAGAACATAGGGCGCAGAACATAGGGCGCAGAACATAGGGCGCAGAAACATAGGGCGCAGAACATAGGGCGCAGAACATAGGGCGCAGAACATAGGGCGCAGAACATAGGGCGCAGAACATAGGGCGCAGAACATAGGGCGCAGAACATAGGGCGCAGAGCATAGGGCGCAGAGCATAGGGCGCAGAGCATAGGGCGCAGAGCATAGGGCGCAGAGCATAGGGCGCAGAGCATAGGGCGCAGAGCATAGGGCGCAGAGCATAGGGCGCAGAGCATAGGGCGCAGAGCATAGGGCGCAGAACATAGGGCGCAGAACATAGGGCGCAGAACATAGGGCGCCGAACATTAGGGCGCAGAACATAGGGCGCAGAAACTAGGGCGCAGAACATAGGGCGCAGAACATAGGGCGCAGAACATAGGGCGCAGAACATAGGGCGCAGAACATAGGGCGCAGAACATAGGGCGCAGAACATAGGGGCGCAGAACATAGGGCGCAGAACATAGGGGCGAAGAACATAGGGCGCAGAACATAGGGCGCAGAACATAGGGCGCAGAACATAGGCGCAGACTAGGCGCAACATAGGGCGCAGAACATAGTGCGCAGAACATAGGGCGCAGAACATAGGGCGCAGAACATAGGGCGCAGAACAGAGGGCGCAGAACATAGGGCGCAGAACATAGGGCGCAGAACATAGGGCGCAGAACATAGGGCGCAGAACATAGGGCGCAGAACATAGGGCGCAGCACATAGGGCGCAGAACATATGGGCGCAGAACATAGGGCGCAGAACATAGGGCGCAGAACATAGGGCGCAGAACATAGGGCGCAGAACATAGGGCGCAGAACATAGGGCGCAGAACATAGGGCGCAGAACATAGGGCGCAGAACATAGGGCGGCAGAACATAGGGCGCAGAAACATAGGGCGCAGAACATAGGGCTCAGAACATAGGGCGCAGAACATAGGGCGCAAGAACATAGGGCGCAGAACATAGGGCGCAGAACATAGGGCGCAGAACATAGGGGCAGACTATAGGGAGCAGAACATAGGCGCAGAACAATAGGGCGCAGAACATAGGGCAGAACATAGGGCGCAGCAACATAGGGCGCAGAACATAGGGCGCAGAACATAGGGCGCAGAACATAGGGCGCAGGAAAATAGGGCGCAGAACATAGGGCGCAGAACATAGGGCGCAGAACATAGGGCGCAGAACATAGGGCGCAGAACATAGGGCGCAGAACATAGGGCGCAGAACATAGGGCGCAGAACATAGGGCGCAGAACATAGGGCGCAGAACATAGGGCGCAGAACATAGGGCGCAGAACATAGGGCGCAGATCATAGGGCGCAGAACATAGGGCGCAGAACATAGGGCGCAGAACATAGGGGCGCAGAACATAGGGCGCAGAACATAGGGCGCAGAACATAGGGCGCAGAACATAGGGCGCAGAACATAGGGCGCAGAACATAGGGCGCAGAACATAGGGCGCAGAACATAGGGCGCAGAACATAGGGCGCAGAACATAGGGCGCAGAACATAGGGCGCAGAACATAGGGCGCAGAACATAGGGCGCAGAACATAGGGCGCAGAACATAGGGCGCAGAACATAGGGCGCAGAACATAGGGCGCAGAACATAGGGCGCAGAACATAGGGCGCAGAACATAGGGCGCAGAACATAGGGCGCAGAACATAGGGCGCAGAACATAGGGCGCAGAACATAGGGCGCAGAACATAGGGCGCAGAACATAGGGCGCAGAACATAGGGCGCAGAACATAGGGCGCAGAACATAGGGCGCAGAACATAGGGCGCAGAACATAGGGCGCAGAACATAGGGCGCAGAACATAGGGCGCAGAACATAGGGGGCAGAACATAGGGCGCAGAACATAGGGCGCAGAACATAGGGCGCAGAACATAGGGCGCAGAACATAGGGCGCAGAACATAGGGCGCAGAACATAGGGCGCAGAACATAGGGCGCAGAACATAGGGCGCAGAACATAGGGCGCAGAACATAGGGCGCAGAACATAGGGCGCAGAACATAGGGCGCAGAACATAGGGCGCAGAACATAGGGCGCAGAACATAGGGCGCAGAACATAGGGCGCAGAACATAGGGCGCAGAACATAGGGCGCAGAACATAGGGCGCAGAACATAGGGCGCAGAACATAGGGCGCAGAACATAGGGCGCAGAACATAGGGCGCAGAACATAGGGCGCAGAACATAGGGCGCAGAACATAGGGCGCAGAACATAGGGTGCAGAACATAGGGTGCAGAACATAGGGTGCAGAACATAGGGTGCAGAACATAGGGTGCAGAACATAGGGTGCAGAACATAGGGTGCAGAACATAGGGCGCAGAACATAGGGCGCAGAACATAGGGCGCAGAACATAGGGCGCAGAACATAGGGCGCAGAACATAGGGCGCAGAACATAGGGCGCAGAACATAGGGCGCAGAACATAGGGCGCAGAACATAGGGCGCAGAACATAGGGCGCAGAACATAGGGCGCAGAGCATAGGGCGCAGAACATAGGGCGCAGAGCATAGGGCGCAGAGCATAGGGCGCAGAACATAGGGCGCAGAGCATAGGGCGCAGAGCATAGGGCGCAGAACATAGGGCGCAGAACATAGGGCGCAGAACATAGGGCGCAGAACATAGGGGGCAGAACATAGGGTGCAGAACATAGGGCGCAGAACATAGGGCGCAGAACATAGGGCGCAGAACATAGGGCGCAGAACATAGGGTGCAGAACATAGGGTGCAGAACATAGGGTGCAGAACATAGGGTGCAGAACATAGGGTGCAGAACATAGGGTGC